CTGGCGATTATTAGGTTCCTCACAGAGATGCTAAATAATGAATGAAGGGGCACCAGGGGGGCTGTTAGTCTTTTTATTATCCTGATTATTACGGTCATCCATCAGACGTCCGGCTATTAAACAGGACCGCAGACATGTGACAAATTGAGGGAAGAGAACATAGGGGGCCACTCACAGGGACCTGGCAGATAGCATCATGTAGAGTTCAGCTTTCAATCGCGCTCTTACGGGTTAGGCGTTGTTTGTAACATATGCACGCACCAAACAGGTTGGAAGCCAAAAAAAAAAGATAATGAAAGGACGAAGCCAAGATGGACAGTGCAGCAGAGCGGCAGGAGAGAAAGCTGAGATGAGCATTTCCTGCTATGCCGCGACGATCAAACCAACAACTGTGGATAGACAGATGGACTCGCAGTGCATCTCTGTCTCTCTCTCATTAAGCGAACGCCATCGGGATTGCGCGCGGTCGCCTCAGCCATTAACACAAACTCAATGTCCCCGCGGGCATCAAACTCCCCATTAACTCACAGTCTACAGCACCACTTCCTGCTATCCAGGCATATGTTGTTTACGCATGCATGTAAAGGCTAAAGCACACAAACGCATGCATAAACCTGAGGACTGACAGGAAGGGCAATTCAACCAACGCGGTGAAATAAGCTTTAAAGACAGATGTGGGAACATCCAATCACACCCGTCATAAACTTTAAGCTTCCATTAGCGGGATGTTCACCGGGATGTTCCGTTTAAGGCTCCCTCTTCTGCTATGGAGCCACTCTGTGCTTTCTCTACATGCTAGCCCAGCTATTGTCAGTGGAGCCGGCATTCCTACAAGCATCATGGCAGTAAACTAGAACACGGTGCATGCCAAGGACACTGCTCTTTTGTTCCGTTGTCCAATCCATACGTTTCACACCCGAATAAAACGGCAAAAAGCAAATGACGTGCACTACGTGGCAGATAAGGACTTGTTTCAGACACAGCAATAGTCTGAGGCCGTTTAGAGACGGTTAAGAGAAAGGGGGAAGTGAGAGAACTGACGCAGCATCTCGTCACCTTCCTACCTGCAGCTGACCTCCTAATCATCGGCTCTATTACTGCCAGACCGTCAGAGACAGTCACCGCTCTTCACTGAGTGCTTTAAGGCGCTGAAAGGCAGAGCTCAGAACAACATGAACACGTGTGTGTGTTAAGAAATCAAGAGGAAGAGGAGGGGCAACCAAGAGGAACGCAAGAAACAAAGCTAATGAGCACATGAGCAACCTAGTAATGAGTTATATATATTTCTTTTATCACATATTAAGAGGCACGGCGCTTATTTATATTTGATTCTGTATTTGGGGGGAAACATGTGAGACACTTGTGTTTTTAATCTTTCAGTTGATGTGCCCGGCCTTTAAGTTATTTACTCTAAAAGTCTTTACACTAAATGCACGCACGCCGAGTCAAACGCTGGGAAATTAGTTCAAATACTTTAAAAAGTGTTTAAAATGTTTTTCCCCCGGGCTCGGCTCTGGAGGCTTCAAATGAAAAGCGCACACACCGTCTATAAACTTGTGTGCGTGTGTGTGTGAGAGAGAAATCTATATATTTCATTGCCGTGTTTTGCAGTTCAATTCTCCCTAAATAATTCACCCGCTCTCGATCGGTGTAGCCCACTTAGGCGTCTCGACTAGTCCACACGCACGGCCTCCTCTCCGCTCTCTCTATGTGTGGATTACCAGACGATAGGCCTGATTTCACATGGGCTCAGGCTATTAACGCTTTGACCTTGGATTTCAACCAGGCAATTTGTCTAAAAGCCGGCACCGCCTCAGATGCCCCGGCCGACTCCGTCCACGATTGGTATGGGTGGCAGCAGCTCTCCCGCCGTCTGCCCGTCAGCCGTCTCATCTCCACCACTCAGGGGTTAAGCTTAAATTTCTTTGATGAACTACTTCAGATCTTTCACATAGAGTTCTCTTTTCTCCCTCGCCCCTTAGTCTCACTTAGATGTATCGCTTGTCATAGAGCTCACGAGGCATCCGTGTGTCTTTATGTTCCTCAATTTGTTCCCTCTATTCTCCTACTTGGTGAAAAAGACAATCTCTCTAGATTGTTTGTCCACATATGGCCCTTTAAATGTCCTATTTACAGCTGGTATTCATTTGTTCTATACCTGGATAATCACACCTGATCGGAGGTAGGCGATACCGCTGACAGACTGCTATTACACTTGTCCAATCACAATGCCAGCCTGATCACATTCAAATGAGGTCTGGCTGCAGTTAAACAAACATGAATGTTGTACATAAGTTGTATCCGCCTCAAGACTTGTGTTTGACCAATGAGAGTTATTCAGTGCAGCAAACTGCCTGCATAGTTCCTGAGTCAATACAAAGTACACCTGCAGCAAAAGGACTTTTTGTTTTAAAAAATATATTTAAATGATTTTGTTTTTTTGCAGCAATCTGTACACAACGATGTTTCCTTAAAGGTGCAGTGTATGTGGCGGCATCTAGCAGTGAGGTTGCCGATTGCAACTAACTAACGTGGAAACATGAACATGCAAATGGCCCTATCCAGAGACAGTGTTAAGTTTGTCCATTCTGGGCTACTGTAGAAATAGTGTGGCTGCTCTCTATATATATATATATATAAACGGCTCATTCTAAGGTAACGAAACACGAGTCTTATGTCTCGATTATGATGTGTAGGCCAGGAAAAGGCCATTAAATCTGAAATGATATTTTGACACACATTTCACCTTTAACGAACATTGAACCTTCTGTGATTTGAAAATTGCAATTTCCATAACATTTTGATTAACTGCGCAGCCCGAGACAGCATATATTAAAAGGAGGAAAGGTGATGAAACAACACTGGAAGACAAACGTGCATGTGTTGAGCGCCAAACAGGGATCCGTCCATCAGGCCTCTCTTCCTGTCAGCAGCAATGAGGCCCGTTGTTGAAGCTTCATAAATGCATCGGTTAACCTCCTTCTCTGTGCAACAGTTTATCTGCAGTCCATTTACTCATGTGGCTCTCACAGGCTGTGTCACATCACCATACCTCCCCCCCCCCTCTCCCCCTCTATTTGTTCTCCCATTTGTTCTCCCTCTTTACTCTTCACCCCTTTCTCTATCTCCAATGCCTCACCCGCAGCAGCTCTGTGACTGGTTATCAGAGAAAATTACGCTTCTGTTGCAAACAAATAAGCGCCCCACCCCCCCTCAGTTTCTCCTGTTGTATTCTGGTCAGAGAGGGAGGTGGAAATGTGGCTCCAGTGAATTCGCCGTGCTCCTGGCCTTGAAGAATGCACCTCCATTAAGGATTCAGGGGACAGTTAGCAAACAGACAGCTGGGCCTAATGGCACGACTGGGCTAATGCGGAGCTAACACTCGCTACACACAGATAAGAGCGTGTACACACACACACACACACACACACACACACACACGCAAACAGACACTCTTAATATCACAGCCTATTGACTGATGGCGATGAGCACATGTTCAGCAAACATGGCAAACAGCAATCGCAAGAATATGGATTAAACATCAGCAGGTCTAAGCTCATATAATCACCGGGGGGCTTAATAAGACTGATAAAGGCCACACACACACACACACACACGCACACACAGAAGACCCACGTAGGAATGGAGTTTGGAATGCTTTCCTGAACAAAGCCCTCCAAATCGTATCTTTGATTGTCTACACAACTGGGCTGCTCGACTGTGTGATGCGGTTAATGCGGCTAATTGGAGACAGAGAGCTGCAGTCGACGCTTGATTCTCAAGAATCGAACTTCCAGACAAGACCGATTCCAGCTAAACCAACACCCCAGCAGCTGATTGATTACCAACACGGACAGGACGACGGGACTGTTGGGCCCGGAGCCAATGGCAGCGAGGGAAAGAGGGCGTCTCATCCCTCACTCGTCTCACACTTTATCCAATGCATACTGTACTCTCTTAATAATTAGAATGATTCGGGTTAATGAGAGGCAACAAGCATGGTCAGATGGACCTGTTAGGGAGAGGCTATTGACCATTTGCGAAGCCAAGCTTAGCAGTCAAGCTGTCAGTGTTAGTATGGAGCCCACACCGTCACTAACCGCACTCTCTGGCATAAATATTATATTAAGAAGTGATTTCATAGAGAAGCAGACAGAAAGGCCTAAAGTATATGTTTTAAGGATGTATCCAGGATGTCAAACTAGTTCAGCAGTGAAAACAGGTTAAACAGATAAAGATGGAAGCTAAAGCTACGGATCACAGAGTAAAAGGTAAAAGTGAACCACCACATCACCTGGGGATCCAGACAGAAAACACTGAAACTAAGCAACGACACTTTTCCTGGAAAGCCGAGTACTTCTTTATTCGCCGTTACAATCATTAAAAAGCAACACCAGCATGTGTAGATTCAGTATACAATCAGTAGCTAGCGTAGCATACAGGTGCTAATGTTAGATAAGGATGTGCTACTCTGCTAATGTTAGCTCCACAGGTTTTTACACAGACACTTGTATCTCTTTCAAAGCTCACCAGAGTATCACTATTACACAATGTTTTACGTTTCCAAAGCCACAAAAGCAGTCTACGGAGCACTGTTGATAGTTCTCAGACCCTGATCGCAACTGGATGATGCTACACTATGATTGGCCAGTCTGCGTTTGAGAGGCGGTATTTAGTGAAGGGTCAATGGTCCCCCATGCCTGCTGCCAACTCAGCTCAACTCAACTTGCCCTTTTTGTGTCTAGTAGTGGCAGTGTGTTTTTTTTTGGTACCACCTCGGTCGAGGTTGCAAGCGAGCCGAGCCGATACTAGAAGATAGAACAGAAACACTGCAGACCATCCTGCAGCAACAACAAACCTACAGCTATGGACCATGGTAGCAAATCATCTACTGAAACAAAACTAGATTTTGACACAGGAGCCTCAAGAGGGCCAGAGTGCTTCCCTCAAGGAGGCGAGAAGGGAGTGAAGGTAGGTAGGTTGAGGAAAAGGTAACTCACAGGGGACAGTGCGGAGGTAGAGGTTGTCCCGGATGATCTGCTGCAGCTCGTGGTCCACCGAGCCTTTCTGAAAGCGCAGGTTGAGGTAGTGGCGCAGGTCCTTGTCTATCACGCCCCCTGGAGGAACACAAGGGACAGGAGTCAGTAATCAGAATCACACCTCCCCCTCTTCAAATCAATCACTCTGACATTTTCCTCCTGTCGAAAGAAGAGGAATGGTGTGAGGCGAAATAACCTACTCAGCCCTTGATCAGAAACGGGGACAGCTGGACGTGTTTGTGAATTACCCAGAAATAAATGGCTGGACTCACTCGGGTTTTCTGTGTTGTTTCCAAACCTCGACAGCGAGCAGAGGAAGCTGAAAACACTGGGGCGACAAATGACCCAGAAATCACTGAAAAACCACAGCAAACTATTTGAATCCGCTAAATCCCCACAAACAAACACGGCCGACACTAATGAACGGTCTCCCATCCATCATCTGCACACGGATTGGTGGAGTGCGGAGAAATGTCTACATATAAATCATCCGCGGACTCCCCCGGGGGCTATTTTTTACTTCCATTCTCCTCTCCCTCACCTGAGTCCTTCCCCCTCCCTCTCCATCTCTTTCAGCACTCCCAGTCCTGTGGACGGACTTCCACTTTAAACCAGTCAATCTCGCTGGCTCAGCAGGACAGAAGATGAAAAAAAAGTGGTGGAAGGGACAACAGAGAAATGGATGTAGGAGAGATGGAAGGCAAGGGCAAATCCCACGGGGGAGTAAAAAGGGGGAGAAAGCTACAGCAAGCATCAACACCACCCCCCCTTACCCAACAAATACTCCATCTGTCTCCTCCGCCTCACACTCATACAATCACATATCAAATGGAGGCAGGACGGGACGGATGAGCAGAGGGAGGGGGGGGCTCTACTGGCGTTACTTAAGTAACCTCATGGTGCCGCTTTAACCAACACACTCGTCCTTCTCGCTTCTCCTCCGCATAGAAGGGAAGAAGCAGAGAGACAGACGGAGAGGGCGCACATGCTGAGAAGACATTCGGCTAACCTTCAACATCCTCTTTAAAGCGGCAACTTGGCACGGTGCCACGTAGCATTTAGCCCCCCCCACACTTATCTTTTTCCCTCCGTGATCCTGAGGCAGTGACATCCGAGCATGATACGCTGGAGAGCATACATGTAACACACACACACATACACACACACACACACACACACGTGCAGACAGACGCATCTCAACAGAGATGGACTGTGAAAGCGCTCAGACAGAAGGTGGAGGAAATTAAGAGGAAATACAACAGAGATGCACATTTGAATTTGGAAGTTTTCCATCATATTGGGGAATTTTTCTGGTTCTTCTGTCGTGTGAAATGCACACACACACACACACACACACACACACACACACACACACACACACACACACACACATCATGCCTTAATCCATCAGAGCTGAACTAATTCCCGGGGCGCTGCATTATAATCATGCAAACCTGAATTACAGTGGCCGGCTCTGTCTGTGTCTCTGTCAGAGACGTGGAGCAGCCAACTTCACATTTGCATGAGAGAAGAAGCCAATGAATCTGCATACTGAAAAGGTGAGCAGACTCAGAATCACACGCACACACACACACACACAGACAGACAGACACACACACACATATTAACACACTAAATGGCACCTCTTGTGCGGACAGCGGTTGAGCAGCCAGTACAGTGTCAGATCCCTCTTTCCACAGGTTTTTGTGATGCAAAATAATCTCCGCTGCAGGAAATCTTGCGCTGGATCTTTCCTCGTTGGTGCCCCCCCCCCCCCCCCCACTCTCCTCTCCGAGTACCGTCCTGTCCCTCGGAGTCCCCCAACTCTGTCTCTGTCTGCCCCAAATCTAGCCACTGCCAGCCAGCCAGCCAGCCAGCCCAGGGAAAAAAAAGCGATTCACCTCTCTCTGCACTCCGCCGTGTGGAGAGATGAAACGGGAGAGAGCGGATGAACGAGTGACTGAGGAGACACCGAGGCAGAGAGAGAGTGTGTGTGCGAGAGAGAGAAAGAGAGAGAGAGAGAGAGAGAGAGAGAGAGAGAGAGAGGGAGAGCGGGAAAGAGGAGAAGTGTGTGTGTGTGTGTTGCTGCGAGTGAGGGAGAGCGACCGTTGAAGCGCGGCTCCGGCGGTGGGGACCAATCTCACCGAGATCCCTTTTTTCCCCTCTCTCGGATCCCTCCAGGTTCTCAGGTCCTACGATGCCCCCCATCTGCAGCGCCCGGCACTGCATCTGTTTTAAGTGCCTCTCCCAGATTAAAAGTCATCCCCCCCTGCCCCATCACACGCCCCCCCCCCCCCCCTCCTCCTCGGTTTATTGCATCCACATGACCTGGATCTGACCTTCCTCCACTGTCAACAACCACACGGTGAAACTAAACACTGCGTTTCAGTGAAACACAGCGCTGTCTCACTCCAGAGGAACAGAATTCCTCCTAATTAGGTTGCTGTTTGTTTAGAAATAGTGACTTTCTGGTGACGCTTCTCTGTCACAAATTCCGGCCATTCTGGTGATGCAATCTCTCCATTTCTTCTCTTCTCCTGTTCCTTGACATATATTTATTTTCTTTATTTATGTGGTTGTACAGATGTTTGCAAGTCCAAACACACAGCCCATTTTTTCCAAGCTACGACATCGCAATGGAACCGAGAATATGTGAGATTCTATGGGTGTTACATCAGGATTTAACGCTATAAAAGCAGACTTTTGTCATCGACTTAAGATGTGTCCTTTGAGAAGTTGCGAATCTCCCGTTTCCAACACATCCCAAAGTTGCTCTGTCAGAAGACAGCAACCAGTCACGACTATGCCTACATGCCTAAATGCATTGAGTTGCTGCCACGTGATTGGCCGATTAGATATTTGTGTTAATGAGCAATCGAACAGCTGTACCTAATAAAGTGGCCAGTAGTGCTGCTTATTTACCTTCACACAGACCAACAGAGGACAGCAGCTCACTCTCACGCTGAAGAAGCACATTTTGTTTTCTTTGATGAATAACTTGAACCAAACCTTTTCATTTATTACCAAAAACCATCGAAGCCCCCACGCGTGAATAAATACATTTTAATCAAAGTATAGGGCTAAGTTGGATTTTATTTAAAGTATATAACATGCAAATGAAAAACATGAGTTCAACTTTCCCCAAACTGCCAAAGTTCTTAGACACAAGACGTTGCTGCTATATTGGCTGCTCCTTCATATTTTGGGTTTCACTGACATTTTTGACTGACGAGCAGCACCAGTTTGGCTTCTCCTCCCCGTCACTGGCACTTTAACTGTCTGAATAAATCTCACAGAGTCTTCATAGCCTCACAAGCATCAGAGCACTCTTTGTTTAGTCGTTGGTCCCGAATAAATCAGAACTTCCACCATCAGAGTGTAAGTACCTCTCCCACTCTCTGAGCAGCAGTTAGAAAACACAGCAGGGAACTGCAGCTCTCCACTCAATAGGGACCAATGTTTGGTAATGTATCCAGAAACAGATGCGTTTGTGTGTGCACATACATCAGCGCAAGAGTCCAACCCCGGCACGAGGAAAGCACTGGTCTGGAGTCAGCGAGGCGTATAAGGTCACCTAAACAAATGGGACGCTAGCGCTCGTTTCTCTCTCGAGGTTGCTCCTCGTCAGTTCTCGCAGCTATCGGGACGACCACTGAGGGTTGACAGAGCTTCAGGAAAGTCCACTCGCCGGTGCATGAGCCAATCAGCGGAACATGACGACAATCCGAATGGTGTGAACAATTCGTGCACTTATTCCCACTCGTCCTCGCATGTTTAGAGCCAATATAACGGGTTTCCGGAACAGATGGCTGGATGAGAATCATTGTTGCTATGTAGAGCAGGAGCATCCAACATCTAAGCTTAGCAGGTGTCATGTAATTCCCCTGGGAGGCCGGGAGGGAGGGAGGGAGAGCGAGAGAAAGAGCAGCCTGTGGAGAGTCACAAAAAACTAAAAAACAAGCGAGCAGCTGGTTCCACGGAGGGATGGAGGTGCTGCTCTGCCTCAAACTAGCGGAGCGACTCCTCCTGTGAGCCGAGATGGAGCAGCACTCAACGTTGCAGGCATGGCGGTTCCTTAACGCACGGCCTTTTGTTCCTCCTATTCATTTGCCTCTGTCAATGTAAATTATGTGTGCATGCGTGGTGAATTATGCATGGTGTATCGACTTTCTGTTCGCAGATACTACTGCCACGAGTACTGCAAGTGCTGAGCGCTGAGAGTCCTACCGAGACTGAAAACGTGAGGTCAACACTATTTGAATTCATAAAACAAATGCTGCAAATTGCTACTTCTCAATTTATGGATTCGGCACAGGCATATAAAAACACACCGAGTACCAAACACAGGACTTTCAGCATAGAGAGACTTCGGTCAGAACACTTCCTACTCCAGCGTGGAGGGTGAGCCGACATCAGAGCCACGGAGACAATATTTATCACACCCTGCTCTGAGGGCCCCCAGCGGCAGTCACACATGTAGGCTAGCATCATCACGCTGTGCGTACGTGTGTGTGTGTGTGTGTGTGTTTGTGCATTTAAGTCAGAGGGACCGCCAGCAGACAGCTGTTTGGGTAATCAGACTAATTAAATGATCAGGATGGGCTTAAAACCTCGCCAGTTCCACCACACACACACACACACACACACACAGTGCTCTGTTGATTAGTCCTCAACGAATGAGTAGGATGCCAACAACTCTGTGGTGAAAGTGCTGGAATCCATAAAAACCAACTGGCTTTCAGATGGACACACACACACACACACACACACACACACACACACACACACACACA